AAAAGCTTAGATTTTCCTGAGAGGGAAGGGAAGATTTGGCATCTTTTGGAAAGTACTAGGTGTGCGTGATTTTTTTTCTCTTTCGATACCAAACTTGATACAAGAGTAGACTTTTCTCCTTGTCACCAGCTCCTCACCATCAGTTCATTCTTTAACCTATTGGATTTTGGTTTCCACGCCAACCTGTCACTGAAACTGCATCCTTAAAGATCACCAAGGACCATCAAATTGGTAAAGGCTGTGAGATTCAGCCTCACGCTGCTCATCCTTCTGTCCAATTCCACATAAAAGTCTCTCTAACCTTGGCTTCTCTAACAATGTTGTGCTTATCTGCAACTTCTATGATTGTTTCTTTTCAGTCTCCCATCTTGCCTCCTCCTCTTTCTCCATTAAAGTTGGCATCTCCCAAGGTTCTGTCTTTGGTGTTGATGCCACCATGATGTTATCGCCCTCTCTGCTGGCTCTAAACATTGTCTTTGTGTCTACAAGTCTGATCAAGAAATTTCCTCTGAGCTCTGGAATGAATTTTTCAGTCTTTTCTACACAAGAATGTCCTATTCAGACAGGAAACTATTGTGAGGCACCTGGCAAGAATGCAAAGGGCCTGCACCAGGATGTTAAGAGTGGAAAGACAGAACAGATTCATAAAATATTTAGCAGATAAAATAAACAGGACTCTGATGGATTAACTGTCCAAAGATAGGGAGGAAGAGAAAAGGAGGAAGAGAGACAGAAGGAGGCAAAATTGACCCCAAGGTTTATAGCTTGGGTCACCTGGAGGATGGGTGTGCCCTTATGGGGCTAAAGAATACATGGTTAAGGGGCATATGTGAGGGAGAAGATGATGGCTTTGGTTTAGGATCTTTTTTGTCTTTCAAGTCTTCCTTTTGTAGCACTGCTAGAATTCTCTTCGTGAAACACAGGTCACATCATGCCATTCTCCTCCTCAAAATTTTTTCTTAGCTCTTATTAAGTATGGAGTAGTTTAGATGTTCAGTCTCCTTAACAAGGGACTCGAAGCCCTACACAAGCTGGCTTTGTTTGGTTTCATTACCTTCTAGCACAACAGAACCCATGAGGCAGTTTTTCACCTTGCTTTTTCTCAAGCTGTTCTCTCAATCTGGAATGCCCTCCCCACTTTTTCTGCCTATGAAAATCCTACTTCTCCTTTAGATTGTAGTTTGCGTACTACATCTCCCGTAAAGCCTCCTCTCCCCCTGGTTGGAATTGGTAGCTCTTTATTCAATATTTCCGCACTAATTTATGTGTATTTGTGTAGTATTATAATGCATTTGCTCAAACGTATATTTCTTCAGTTGGATGGTAAACCCCTTAAAGCTAGGAAATGTATCTTATTTATCTCTATTTCTTATAAGTTGCTAGCACATGACTTTCCACATATTTGTTGCTCATTAAATAATAAATGAAAAGCAGAGAGAAACTGGTCAAGGTTGGAGTGGAAGGAGAGTCTGTGGCGGCAAAAGTGATTGACAGGATAGGCTTCCACTTGCTTTAGAATATGGCCATCTGGGATGGAAACTTTGGGTTGTAAAGCACAGGTGCAGAGAATAATAGTGAGAGAGGCGATGGATTATGGGTAACGTGAGGGCTCATATTTAAAGACAGGATCCTGTGACACAAAATCATGCATGTTCACAATTTAGCCTTACTCAGAGGCAGACAAGCCAAATTGTAAAGTCCTTCACCAGCGGGAAATTTTTATTCTGCCCACTTAAAAAGATACACGGCCCTTTTGTGTAACCACGACTCCTGCATATTTAGCTCTTGCTGCTTCTGTGTCTATTGTCTGATGCCATAAAGAGATGGGACCTTGACTGATAGTGTGGTGGTGACCCATTGCAATGCCCATTTATTTAATTGTGGAAATGATGGGCAAGGAGATATTCTGATTAATGAGATTTCTTTGACCCTTAATTATTCTTTTCATATGTTACTCTTTCATCAATCTGTATTTATTTTCAGCAGTACAAAGGAAGCATGAAAAATATTACCTTTTAGTATTGTGAATCCCAGAATAATAAAATTCATGGTTTTCCTTCTGGATGCTCTCACACAAATACATATCTATTATGTTTCTATTTACGTTATATATGTACTCTATGCATTCTTTATAAATATGTTGTATGTATCTATGTAACTACCCATAGTCCATGCTTAGCCCAGTCTTCCATTAGTAAAAGGACTGCTAGTTGTGGGTTAGAGATGGAAATAAATAGAGATAACCAATATCCTGAATATTTCAATGTTCAATCAGCTGTTTTCCATGAGGACAGATACCTCCCTGTCCAGCCCTAGGTTCCTGAGGGAGATATATGTACAAAGAAAATTCCGGGCAAATGTAACCTTCTTATTCCTACCTGAGGTCTGGCTGCTGACCCCTTGTTGGACTCCCATTCATGGTAAATTGGGACCTATGAGAGCCACTAGGATGCCTTTTGCATGGGAGTGAGGCTGGCCTCAGAAATCTGGGGGATGGCTCCTCTCCCCTGGCCTCATTTGGGCTCTCATGTGGCTTTCCCAGGTCAAGGAGACTCTCTGAGGTTGGAGGCAGCCCATGTCCCTGACAAGAGACTTCCTTTTAATGGAGTCCTAGAAGAGCTCAATTCCATTAGAGAAATCAAAAAGCAAACCCCAAAGAAAGGAAGACTCTAAAGAGACTCCGCTAGATAAATGAGAGAGCCTTTACCTACTTCTCCTGTGCCACCTCTTCCATTCCTTGGCATCATGACCCAGCACCCTCCAACTCCCACTGGGGGAAAGGAGAAGAGCTTCGAGCTAATCCAAAGGTTGGATGAGTAGCCAACATTGGTTTAGAGGCTTAAGTGATGGCAACATTCGTGCCAAATATGATAATTTTATTGGATACCTATTGTTCCCCATCTCATAAACTCACCTTCTTACTCAAGCCTTTGCTGTAGCAACTAGCTATGATCAGGTGTAATTGACAGAGCCTCACCTCAGCTTCACCAAGCGTCTCTTACTTTCTGCACCATTGGCTTCTTTGCCTTGGCTGACGGTGGGGACCTACTCAGCCACTCTAAATTACCGGCAAACCTGTAAGTGCAAGGGAGTTAACACTCTCTGGGGCTACTCCAGCCCCTTCTGTCTCCCATCCCTTTGACTGTCCATTCTGAGATACACATACACAGCTCCTCATGATGGTTCCCAGAGGGCTTGCATTCCAGGTGTTCACAGCAATGACTAGCTTGCCAGTGCACCTTGGGATTGGCTTTCCCCTCTTTCTAGTTCCCCACTTTTGTTTCTGGAATTGCTTTCCTGAATAAATCTCAGGGGTCTGCTTTTTAGGGATACCCAGAAAATAGATAGATGGAGGGGGATTGGGAGGCTACAAATACTGATCAAACCCATTGCATGGAGAATGTTCGAACAGACATTCTATTTGAAGTGGGACATAAGGGGACAGGCAGCTTGGTGGTCCTTTATAATACGCACTGAAAAGTCTGTGGACCACTAATTAGGAATTCAGTTAAAAGAAAAATAAGAGAACACCGAAGTCAAGTGATGGCATCTTGTATCTAGAAATCTTTAAGATCTGAAAGACACTCGCTGTTCTGGGATGGTTTGGGTGGAGCCCTACATTCAGGCTGGGGGATGGTTAAACTTTCCCTAGTCCCAGCCCAGTGTATACTCTCTTGACTTTACTTGTCTAATGATAGAGACAGATCAGTTATTCCCCTGTGTCTCTGTGAACACGTGGAGCCTTTCCATCCAACGGAAGTGCCTGGGAGTTTTCATGATGTGCTCAGAGTTCTCGGGCTAAGAGTCTTCTTAAACAAGTGGCAGAATAAAAATATTTAGTATATTCTTTCATTATACTAAAACTAAAATGTCTTTCATTACCTGTTAAAATAAACCATTTGCTCTTCTACAGAAAACATTTGAAGCATGATCAACAGAGAGCTCAGGGGTCACAATTGCACTAGTTACCTGGAGGAGGTTGAAAGGTGTTGGGTGGTGGGAAAAGGAGGGGGTGGAGTTAGAGAGAGGCAATGGGTGGGGCAAAACCTTTGCATCCCCATCTGGCTACCCCCTAACTAATCTAACCAGATCAAGTTCCCTTGGTTTGATAAAATATGTTTAGGCTACCCTCAAGATAACTGCAGGCAATCCAAGCATGATGATTTAGTGTTTAATCAGAAGAGAAAATTTTAGACCTCCCAAACTCTGAAGTTAGCAGAAAAACATTTTTAGCCATTTTTTCCCCCTTAAATCTGTTGTGGCTTGAAAGCTTGAGGTGCCATTTTTGCTATAACTGCCTTGCAAGGATTCTGCTTGGCAACCAGTTTTGCTTTAAAAGGTTGACATTTGGCTGGCCCAGTGGCGCAGCGGTTAAGTTCACACGTTGCGCTTCGGTGGCCCAGGGTTCGCCGGTTCGGATCCTGGGTGCGGACATGGCACTGCTTGGCAAGCCATGCTGTGGTAGGTGTCCCACATATAAAGTAGAGGAAGATGGGCATGGTTATGAGCTCAGGGCCAGTCTTCCTCTGCAAAAAGAGGAGGATTGGCAGCAGATGTTAGCTCAGGGCTAATCTTCCTCAAAATAAATAAATAAATAAAAATAAAAGGTTGACATTTGCTTGTTTAGAAAGACTCATAGAATCATAGCATGTTATATCTTATTCATTAGGGTAGGAAGGGGTCTTAGAGATCATTGGGTTCAACCTCTCTTTTTATAAGGTGCTTCTGAGCCTGGCTTCAAACTCAGGTGATCTGACACCACCGTAATGTCCCTCATGGTTGAAAAACATTATCTGTAATCCAGATATTCTCACTCAATAGGGGAGGAAGCCACCTGTAGGGACTGGCATTGGGGAAAATAATTTTCAAGTGTGAATTAAGGTAGATTCTCTGCTCTAGGTCTAAAATTCTGTTGAAAACTAAGAACTAACTAATACTTAACTCTATCAAAAAGGAATTCCAAGGGGAAATAGCAATTGATTTTTCTTTTCCCCTTGCAGCTCCTACCAATGTGAGCAGGATTTACACTTTCCTGTTTCACAGATCCACTTATCAGGAAAGAATTGTGAATGGGGATCTCCTGCTTCATAAAGAAGAAATCTTGACTGAGAAGTAAGACCGTTCAGACCCTGGACAGAGGAAGAACGGGCCCCTCCATCCCCAGAGTCATTTAATGTCCTCTCATTTCATTTGCCCCTGGGCCTTGCTTTGTGGGCATTTGCTTGCTTAGTTTATTGTAGTTATTTGCAAAATAAACTTTAATTTGTGTGGAACTCTTCTGTTTTGAGAGAGTGGTGTAGTAAGAATGTTGGCTGGCTCTCTTGAATGTTTGTGGTTGATGGCTCCCTAGAATGGAGTCTGAATCACCAAGGCTATCCTTGCATCCTTGATTTTGCTCACAGGTTCTAGGGTGCATTGGGAAGGATTCTGGTTTTACATTCTCTGTCTTCTGGAACCATTGCAGATAAAATCATTCAGCTGCTATCCCCTTCCGTCCCTCCCTACCATTTTAGGTGCACTGAGCTCTTCTTGGCTCTCCTTCTTCCCCAAGGGCCGAAAGCGCTGAGATGACTCGATTTCTGTGTTTTGGCAGCTGATGAGGTGTGCCTTCCCCTTCAAATTGTTCACAAGCGCTTCATGACCTTTGGCAGGCAAGAGTTCTAATATGATGCTTCTGACTGTGGGTAAGGATAGGCATGTGCTCGTCAAGCCTTGCTGTCTCCTTGTTCCCCTGTGACCAGTGCTGAAGCTCTGTTAAATGGTCAGGGACAGTTTTTGGTGGTCACTAAATGGGGTCAGTCAGCTGTAGACACATTACAGAAAACATGGCCTGAGTCTTAACGTAAAATGTCTTTACTTAACACAACAATAGGAAAAGTATGTATGATCTTGGACTAAATTCAAACAGGGCCATGGTACTGGCTTGGAGATGCCCAGGTGTACATGTAGCGCTCTCCAGGGAAGCGAAGATGGACGAGGATGTGGTCTGTCCCGTCATGGATGGCTCTGATGCCAGGCATTCCTCAGTCACTGGAAGCCCATTAACAGGGGAAACGATGATCACACTGGTGAATATTTTCTTCATGTTTCTAGCTTTTCTCAACCACAGGGAAAATGTGAGGTACATGTGGAATTGAAGGGGAATAAAGTATGTATACAAAATGAGAAGATACTGTTGCTTGTAGTGCTAACAAAAAGCAAAGAAGTTTGACTTATTTTAGTATTTTCAGTAAATATCAGCCACCCCCAAACTAAACTGGAATATGAATCAAGTGAGAGAACTTGATTCATTCACCTAAAAAATAGCTATTGGATGAAAAAAGGAGGAAAATTGTGTCTGATTAGTGACTTGTCATTTTTGAAGTGGCTTCTCCTACATTATCTCATTTTGTAAAAAGTAAATTTGATCTTTTTGAATGTTAGAGTCAAGTGGTTCATAGTTTCTTGTAATAAGCAAGGGATATTATAAGCATGCAAGTTGTGAACCAGGCAAAAAATTCTCTTTTGTTGCTTTATATATTTTACCCATCATCACAGATCCATGGGGAATGTTTATAACTTTAAAATAGATTTAAAAAAATTTTTGTTTGAACTTTCAGTGTGCTTTTCATCTCTTTTTTTTTTGGCCTCAGTCTGTTTCTCTGGTATCTTCCTTTGAGTGGTGAGGTATTGCTTGCATTTGGATAGATTATTATCTAGTTTGCAAAATATACCACTTCCCCCCTCATTAAAATCTCATAGGACCCAGCCCCGTGGCCCAGTGGTTAAGTTCACACCTTCTGCTTCGGCAGCCCGGGGTTTGCCATTTCAGATCCTGGGTGTGGACCTACACACCACTCATCAAGCCATGCTGTGGCGGTATTCCACGCAGAGGAGCTAGAATGACCTACAACTAGGATATACAACTATGTACTGCGGCTTTAGGGGGAAAAAAAAGAGGAAGATTGGCAAGAGATGTTTAGCTCAGGGCAACTCTTCCTCAAAAAAAAAAAAAAACCTCACACTTGCCAAATTTCATTAAGATAAATGAAATTATTCATCTGCTTTTTTCCCCTCTTTGGTATAGGGTTAATAAAATGGTCTTAAGGAGGAGAAGGTAAGGCTGCTGAACATTTTTAAATGTCACTATGTAATTTCAGGAAGGAGCCAGCCTGCAACTGTACTGAATGATGGATACGCTCTCAACCTTGATGTCTATGAATGACTTACGTAATAACAGTTTGCATTATAACCATGGCTCTTCAAACCTCGAATGTGCAAGAGTTCTAACTAGTAGTGGACATTTCCTAAACTTATTTAAAATACACTGAAAAGTAAAAATCAGAACAAAGCAAGACAAACAAAACTTTGAAACTAACAAGTAGTCAAGGATGGCAACCAAGAAAGAAAAAGAAACAAGAGTATAGCCAACCTTTTTTTTTTTAATTAGAGTATATTATACTTCCAAACTGGATACACTAGAAATTGGCAATGCAACATAAGATGCAAAGGAATATACCAGTTACTGTCAAAATGACCCTGTACAGCCTTGTAATGCAAAAAGCTTTATACAATACAAATTTTCAGTAATGTACACAAACCTTGACAGTATGATCATCTGAACATAACATGAGGAGTTAAAAAAACGATAGAAGAAAGTGCTGAGAACTCTAACTGCATTACTATATGGAAAAATAAGCTAGCTTTCATTGAAGAATGCATAGTGAAAACAGAATTGAAGTTAGTTGGCAGGTGAATTTCTCAAAGACGTTAGTGTTTTCCACGGAAAGGATATCTATGGAACACATCCTTCCCTGGGTGTCAAACTGCAGACCAAATGCAGGGGTACATATTATCTCGGTGGAGTCTGAAAAATGCTGTAGATTTTTTCTTTATTAATAACAATAATAATAATATAAAAAGTCAAACAAACTCCAAACACACCTTTTCTCACTCAGAAAACTTTTATAATTTACCAGAAAGATTGATGATTCTTTCCAAAGTGCTAAAAAAGTTGCCCAATTACATTAAGCATAACTAAGTCATTCAAATACAAGTTCAGTGGCAAGCAGTGAAATGCACGGCATTTGAGCAGTAAACATCTCCTTCTGACACCCCTCTAGATCTCGAAAGTTTCAACCTAGGACCTCATATTGCACAAGTGGCATGCTGTAAAATCTGTAGTCCTAATTGTCAGGGGCATCCTTTCAGGTTTTTAACCTGCTGGTGCTTATGTGTGATTGCCCTTTTCTGCCAGCCTCTGTGGGATCACTGTGGCCCTCTTTCTTGTCATCACTGAACTTGTAATTTTGAAAGCACACTATTAGCCAAGTGGCACATTCTCCATTATATGGGGGATAAAGACATGACTTTAAAAAAAAACCAACCCACCCATAAGCCCAGTATTCTTGGAGTGTATTGTCCATAACTGTCTATAGTGTCTTTTACTGAGACATTGACGTGGCGAGGTTGAATGACTTTTCAAACATGGCCAAGAACAAATGTCTCTGCTGGAGAATGACCGAGGGCGCAGGAGCTTCCCGCCCTAGCTGGCTGGCTCAGCGTCCCTGCTCCCGGGGACATCCCCTTAGTGTAAACAGGTTTGCCAGGGCTGGCTGACTGGCGAGGGGAAGTACAGCACGCCTGCTAGGTCTGGGGGAAGGAAGGTGGGTGCGCAGGCGGGGCGGGGGGACCATGGTGTGGACAGACGGTACAGGCTTCTGGCTTCCTGTAGAACTGTACCAACTTTGAGGGAGCTTTCAGTGAAGCAAACTGACTAGAGGAAGAAAATTAGCGATGCTTTTATTTCCCCTGGTGAAACAGATGAAAAAAGAAATCCCAACTCTAGGGTAACACGTGATGGAAAACGGCAACGCAGTCAGAAAGCATCGTTCCTCCTGTACACGAGTTCTTCAATAGATAAATAATATATAAACTTTTATATTCCAAACTTCCCATTATTATACAAAGCACATTTCTTCCTGCTCTTTCAGTCTGTTTCATACTGGAAATTCTGTCGTCTTAAAAATACAAGCAATGAACATATTCCGCCAAAGATTGTTTTCCTTTTCTTGTTTTTAAATCACCCATCACTTTTTAAAGATGAGCAGAGGGCTTTGCAACCAATCTACATCTGCTTCTTGCTGCAATAAAGTGCTGCACGTAAGTTGCCATTTTAATGACCACAAAATAAGAGCTTTAAATAAGTATAAAGTTAGCCTCCTAGCAGGTTATATCTACCAGGCGTTAACAAAATGGAATACAGAATTATTAATAACATGGAGAATACCGCTATAGCCAGATGACCTGCAGACACAATGGAAACTTTTCAGGGGCATAAACTGAACCGTAGGACTAAACAGCACCTTTTTGTTGGGTCGTTATATGTCAAAGAGGTTGTGACGAAATTTTCAAACACACAGTCTACTCATTCCATATAAAAGGTACATTTTCTTCCTTTTCTTCTTTTTTTTTTTTTTGCAGATGAGAAAAAAAAAAAACTAGTGCAAGACCAAAGCACTGTGCAAAACTGCCGTTTCTTTTTTTTTTAGTCTGAGCATTTATACCCAGAATTTATCCAAACCCCTTGTAATCTCCTTGGCTGGATTTATCAACCATAAAATTTTTCACTCATACAATTTTTTTCCTGCAAACAAATGGTAACCACTGAATTAATACATCATATATATATATATAATCTGCCCTTAAAAAAATGATGCACTGTGTGTGTGTACCATACACACTGTATACGTATGGACACACACAAAAACACACTTCAGTTTTGTGATGTTAGTTGCAGTGCTGCCAGATATTTCTTCCAGGTGGGTCTCTTGATTCCTCGTATCCTCAACCAGAAAAGCTCGAGCACAAGGTCTCCAGCACTCTGTCGGAAATCTCAAGCAGCACTGTGGATGTCTACCATTCCTTCATCGACCGAGCACCAGGCCCTACCACTCTGTAGCCACAAAATAGAGAGGGAAAGGTGATGAAGGAGCTCAGGGAGAGACTGTAGCGGATGAACAACCCAGGAGGGAAAAGAATGGTCATCGCTGTTAAAGAAGCCAGTACAAAGAATGTGCAAGAGAAACATCATGGCACACGACACACGGCTTTCTCTTTCAGAATCCACAAACGCCCACACACCCCACTCACCCAACAGAAAACAAAAATGCACCAGTATATAAGCTTACAAGTGCTGATTGCTATTAAGGACACTCTCTTGAGGGTTTAACAAGACAGAATTCCTTTCAGATAGAAGCACGGAGAAGGGCTGAGAGTGGGAGTGGGTGGCTGGGGCGCATGCCTCGAAGGTAGAGTAGGCAGTAGGTCACCTCTCTGAAGATTGGATAAAGCAGCTTTCAGGTCAATGCAATAGGTATACACACAGAGCCAATTCTCTATTCCTTACTAAAGATATACAGTACACGTGGTTCAGACCCATGGGGGCCTGTAGGTTTTGCAGCAACATACACCTGCTGGGGTTGTGTTTAAGTTTTGTGGGTTTTTTGTTTTTGTCTCTTTGTTTTTGGTACAGAACATGGCTGCCGTCAGACAGTCTCTGCTCTTTCTCTTAGTCCCAGGTAGGCGAGGAAGGAGTGTTTGGGGGACGGGATGCTGGGAGGCGCAGTCTGAGGTCGGGGAGGGTGGAATGTGAGATCCAAGTGGTTCTTGGGGTATAACATTGTCAAGGGAATGAGATGGGCAAAATCCGAGTTCCGGTACTTGTCAAAGCGCAAAGGGGAGCCGTTGAAGGCCAAAGCCTTGAGTGCCAGGTTGGGCTCTGAGCCACTGCCGTGGGCGGCAGACAGGGCCACGGTCTGCAGAGCCTGGGAGGCAGACATGACCGACAGGGGAGACAAGAGATTCCGGGAGCTCCCGACGACAAGGAGCGGGGCCCCGGGGCCGGCTGTTTCCTTGGGGGCTGGACACAGGCCCTTCTTGTCCTCCTCGGGGCAGTCCCCACTCTGGTGCTTCTTGATGTGGCGGCTGAAGACAAAAGGGTGGGTGGTCTTGAACAGGCACTCTTCGCAGCTGAAGGTCTGGCGTGGCGCGTGCTTCAGCTTCTTGTGCAGGTTGAGATTGTCCTTGCGCTTGCAGCTGTAGCTGCACTGGTCACAGTGGAAGGGCCGCTCCCCGGTGTGCACGCGCACGTGCTCGATGAGCTTGTTGGCCGTCTTGGACAGGTAGCCGCACTGGTCGCACTTGTAGTGGTTGCCGAGGCGATGCTCCCGGGTGTGCGTCTCCAGCTCCAGCTGGTTGGCCTTCACTGTCTGGCAGATCCGGCACTTGTACTCCATCTTGTAGTGGGTCTTGAGGTGGCACTCCATGGCAGCGGGGCGGTTGGTGGAATAAATGCAGAATGGGCACCTGCCGGGGGAAGCAATGAAAGGGAGGTTCAGCCAGACAGGTTCTGCTGTGGCCCTTCTTGTACCCGCCTCACCTGCCTTCTTCCCTCACGCCACCCTCCAAACTCTGAGGCCTGGCTTGCCCCTGCCCAGCCCAGCCCTGCTGCCTCTCAGGGGTTGAGATGGCCCTCTTTGGCTCTCTCTGCTTATAGAGCCGTCCCCACAAAGGAGGAGCTCTGACGAGGTCTACTCAGCCTACTCTGGGTCTCCTGGCTGGAACAGTGAACACCAGCTCTTAGGAAGGGGAGCAGAGAAAGTGTGAGGAATAAATAAGCTGTCGCTCCCCTCCAGCCTCCCCGCCCATCCCCTTGAAACCCTCCCCACTCCCAATCGGACATAGCAGAGGGGTAACCTCATGACCTCCCCTCTAGATGGGAGCAACACAAAGAATCGACTTTTCATGCACCACACCAAGCACACGCAGAAAGGCT